ATCTCACATTTTTTAAATGGCCATATCCTTCCTGTTTCCTACAAAGAAACAGATCCAATAAGTGGTCAAAATAACCTGCAAAATGAAATCTGCACGACTGAAAAATGCTTTATTGATAACACAAATTCGCCAAACATGACGACATATTTGCGAGGACATTTTGAGGGTTTTTCTAGAGTCTCATAACTAGTAAATCCCATAGGTGTGTTCCTTCCCGTTCCTGTACCTGTCCAGGTAACGCAGCGGCTGCCGGTGGGGGTGTTTGACCTGGGGGGGGTGGTACACCGGGGGGCGGATGAACTCAAACACCGGCTCCCTCATACCTGCAGAGACAGGAAATACAGATTTATTAGGAAGGGAAATGCAGATTTATTAAGACAGGAAATGCAGATTTATTAAGACAGGAAATACAGATTTATTAAGACGGAAAATGCAGATTTATTAAGACGGAAAATACAGCTTTATTGAGATGAGAAATACAGATTTATTCTGGGCTTGTTATTTGTTGTAGTTGCTATACCCTCTCAAATGCAATATTCTTTTACTGATTTGAACATAATGTGAATTTAAAATGATGGTCTCTACTAATCATAAATGCACAACAAGCTCCATGAAAAACTCCTCATTCTCAGAGTTTAATCTCAGATAAATGGTGTTTTCCTCTGTGCAGAGAGACAATCAGTGCTGATCAGCAGCAGCTGCTGGAGGTTTCCTTCCTTTAAAGCTGGCTGGTGCTCAGGCAACACTCTCTTGGAAAACTGCAGAGATGGCAGCTGTTTGGATGGTCCTCTGTGTGCTGACTGTTTGCCTCGCCAGAGGTATTTACCTGTTTGATAATTGTATTGAAGATGAAGGAATAATGTTTGATTTAACAGCATGTTTCCATGTCTCTGGTTTTCCAGCCGGTGAATATAAGCTGCAGAGGAGACTGAGAGTTGAAAACATTTGATTGTATGAAGTGTTTCTTCTCTCCGTCTGACACTAAACCTTTAATTATGTGTCCTACAGATCTGTCTACCGATGAGATCTCCTTAAAGAAAGCCTTTGCACTTTTCCAGTCGATGGAGTCCATGTTAGACCAAGATGCTAGAGAAGGTGAGCCCTAAAGGCTAAAAGGTCAACAGTATGTGCCGCATTAAAGTGGTGAAAATGATCTGAAAGCTGGGAAATGTAAGATTAACTCAAGATATTTAAACCGTGTATAAAAGGGTTTAAAACATTATGATATCTGTATGTCTTATACCAAGTTAAGACACCCCGCCCTTGAGGAACACTATGGGGTGATAATGCTTTATACTGGTTTTAAAAACTTGAAATTGGGAAGATTTTTGTATTTGATGGCCATCCCTTGATATATTGTGCATGTTGATGCCATGCGTTTCAGAAATGTTGAGCCAAATTGAACAACTTTGAGAATTGATCTTAAAAACGGTCCTCAATCCAACAAATGCCACATTAAAAAAAGCAAGAATTAAAAGAAAACTACAGAACAATTCACGCTGTGATTTCAGTCGACGTATAACATCACGTGATTTATTTTGGTTCTTAATTTGTTAATCAATCCTTCTTTCTTTCAGTACAACTGGAAACCAATGACGTGGAAGCTGAGGCGTCTGGTCACCAGAATCCTGAACAAAAGCCCCAGAGCGTCAACGAGACAACAAATGTCCAGAACCAGGTCGTAACGAGGGACAACGGCAAGGCGGGAGGCGTCCAGAACCGGGTCGTCATTAGGGGAAATTCCACTGCAGGGCGTGACCTAAAATGGGTCATCATAGGAGGCGACTCCACAACTGAGGACGTCCAGAACCGGGTCGTCATTAGGGGAAACGCCACGGCGGGGGGTGTCCAGAACTTGGTCATCATTAAGGACAAAGCCAAGACGGGGGGCGTCCAGAACCTGATCGTCATTAGTGAAACCGCCACAGCAGAGGCTGTCCAGAACCGGGTCGTCATTAGGGGAGTGGCCAAGGAGGGGGGCGTCCCAAAATGGGTCGTCATTGGGGTAGACTCCACGACTGGGGACGTCCAGAACCGGTTTGTCATTTGGGGCGAAGCAACGACGGGGGGTGTCCAGCAGAACCTGGTCCCCATGGACAACGGCACGACGGGGGGCGTCCAGCAGAACAACGGCACGACGGGGGGCGTCCAGCAGAACAACGGCACGACGGGAGGTGTCCAGCATGAGCACAAAGGTGAGCTCTAAAGGCCAAAAAGACAACAGTATGTGTCGCATAAAAGTGGTGTAAGAGATCTGGAATCTGTGAAATGTTTGATTAATTTGAAACACAGCAATGTCAAGCTAATCATGTGTGTATAAGAGCTAAAACAAACCACTTGCATGTCTTATAAGTTAATGCATCAATGTTTGGTTGCTGAATTCACTGCCAACATGGCTCATTTTTTACAAATACAGGATTTATTAAGTAACCAAGCCCTTGAGGGACTACTACAGAATTCATGCTGTGATTTCAGTCTAGAGAACATCATTTATTGTCTTGACGTCCATCATTTATGACTCGAATGTTTTTTCAGTACTCCTGGATACCCATGAAGTAGACGAGCAGTTGTTCAACGGGACGATGAGCGACGAGGAAAAGTTCCACTGGACGATGAGCGACGAGGCAAAGTTAAACGGGACGATGAGCGACGAGGCAAAGTTCAACGGGACGAGGAAAAGTTCAACGGGACGATGAGCGAGGAGATATTCAATACTGCATAGATTCATCTCGTCTATTTTGAGTGCCTTGGAGACCTTGATATCTGAGATGTTATCTTAGCAGCAATATAATAAAACGTGTATACATTTCTTAAATAACAGCGTGTCAATCCAATGTTTGTATTGCAATGCTTGGCTCTTATCATGCATACATCTTCCCTTAACAGTCCAATAAAAGCTCATCTGGACTAGAAAAGTCTTTAAAAAAAACTCTCTTCTAAACCTGTCACTCAAAATAGAAATGTTCAGTTTCTTTTCTGCATTTATTTTCAATCTGTATTTGCCAGATAGAAACACACATTTCTAAAATAACCATATCCTGCTGACAACTGAATATCAGCACCGTTAAAAAAAATGCTAACCTGTTAAGCCCGAGAGACCCCGGTACCGAGGCACTGCCGCAACATCTTGCAGGAAACAGTGTCTGAGGGCATGTTCATTTAATAAACTATGAATGTTTTATATCCCTGTAACGGGAAGAAACTCATCTAACTGATCATTTTTATTTTTTTTTCAAAATAAAACCGACAATGCCAACACTGAGCCTCTGAATTAGCAACGAGCGAAAAATGCTAACACCTTACTGCACCGAAAATCACTCACAAAACCTTATTTATCTTTTCACCACATCTAACACATCGTTTCACATCGTGAGGTGACACAGAATCGATGGGTACCCACATTATCACTAAATTATACGAAATGGCGACGTTATAAGCAAAAACGGACATCAAAACAGGTGACGCTAGGTAGCTAAAAATGCTAACATTTTTACCTTGGCTCTGTAGTCTCTCCAAAGTGGTCTTCAATGGCATTAAAACGATAAAAACGCTGCTGAAGTTAATCCATAGGTTAATCCAATGTGTCTGTGTCCCTTTGAAATGATTTCTGATAATCCATAAGCATTAAAACTGCTTTTCCGTTTCCAGATGTCAAAGCTAGAGATAGGTTCACTTTGATGCAAAATTACATGCGCGAAGCCCCCACCTTTTCTCTTCACAACATGTGTGTGTGGGGGACTCCCCCTTCGATTCTATTGGCTCTAACGGTCAGAAAGAGGTGTCAACCATCAAAATCTACCAAGGGGGGCCAGAGATATGGAAAATCCACCCAAATGACCCCAGAAGTGGTTTCTTTTTGCTAAATCTCTCTTAAAAAGGTCAAATGTCCCTTGTTTTGCATCAATCTTGATACAGGGTACTTATATGTTGTACTTTGGATTCCTAAAGCTTTTAGTCTACCTTACCATCATCCAAGGGTAGTTTTCACTATAAGTACAAAATAATTTTTGGACGGACACTATAATTTACAGTTTTTTACGATGTAAAATCTGAATTTTCTTTCAAATAAAACACATCTATATTGATTCTGACTTTTCTACATCCAACTCACAGGTTTATCATTACTTTTAGAACAAATATTATTAATTTAACCCTTTTGGAAGGGAAGATATGGTCATTTGTTCTGGGAATGTCATTTTCGAGCCTGAAACATGAAAAACAGGCTCAGGGCTTAAGAGGTTAAAAAATGTTTTAAATAGTTCTTAGGTCAGAAATATTCTTGTTTGCATTTTCCAGAGATAAATCTCACATTTTTTAAATGGTCATATCCTTCCTGTTTCCTACAAAGAAACAGATCCAATAAGTGGTCAAAATAACCTGCAAAGTGAAATCTGCACGACTGAAAAATGCTTTATTGATAACACAAATTCGCCAAACATGACGACATATTTGCGAGGACATTTTGAGGGTTTTTCTAGAGTCTCATAACTAGTAATTCCCGTAGGTGTGTTCCTTCCCGTTCCTGTACCTGTCCAGGTAACGCAGCGGCTGCCGGTGGGGGTGTTTGACCTGGGGGGGTGGTACACCGGGGGGCGGATGAACTCAAACACCGGCTCCCTCATACCTGCAGAGACAGAAAATACAGATTTATTAAGACAGGAAATGCAGATTTATTAGGAAGGGTAATGCAGATTTATTAAGACAGGAAATACAGATTTATTAAGATGGAAAATGCAGATTTATTAAGACGGAAAATACAGCTTTATTAAGACGGGAAATACAGATTTATTCTGGGCTTGTTATTTGTTGTAGTTGCTATACCCTCTCAAATGCAATATTCTTTTACTGATTTGAACATAATGTGAATTTAAAATGATGGTCTCTACTAATCATAAATGCACAACAAGCTCCATGAAAAACTCCTCATTCTCAGAGTTTAATCTCAGATAAATGGTGTTTTCCTCTGTGCAGAGAGACAATCAGTGCTGATCAGCAGCAGCTGCTGGAGGTTTCCCTCCTTTAAAGCTGGCTGGTGCTCAGGCAACACTCTCTTGGAAAACTGCAGAGATGGCAGCTGTTTGGATGCTCCTCTGTGTGCTGACTGTTTGCCTGGCCAGAGGTATTTACCTGTTTGATAATTGTATTGAAGATGAAGGAATAATGTTTGATTTAACAGCATGTTTCCTGTACACAGTCTCTGGTTTTCCAGCTGGTGAATATAAGCTGCAGAGGAGACTTGAAAACATTTGATTTTATGAAGTGTTTCTTTTCTCTGTCTGACACTAACCTTTAATTATAATGTGTCCTACAGATCTGTCTCCCAATGAGATCTCCTTAAAGAAAGCCTTTGCACTTTTCCAGTCGATGGAGTCCCTGTTAGACCAAGATGCTAGAGAAGGTGAGCCCTAAAGGCTGAAAGGTCAACAGTATGTGCCACATTAAAGTGGTGAAAATGATCTGAAAGCTGGGAAATATAAGATTAACTCAAGATATTTAAACCGTGTATAAAAGGGTTTAAAACATGATCTCTGTATGTCTTATACCAAGTTAAGACACCCAGCCCTTGAGGAACACTATGGGGTGATAATGCTTTAAACTGGTTTTAAAAACTTGAAATTGGGAAGATTTTTGTATTTGATGGCCATCCCATGATATATTGTGCATGTTGATGCCATGCGTTTCAGAAATGTTGAGCCAAATTGAACAACTTTGAGAATTGATCTTAAAAACGGTCCTCAATCCAACAAATGCCACATTAAAAAAAAGCAAGAATTAAAAGAAAACTACAGAACAATTCACGCTGTGATTTCAGTCGACGTATAACATCACGTGATTTATTTTGGTTCTTAATTTGTTCATCAATCCTTCTTTCTTTCAGTACAACTGGAAACCAATGACGTGGAAGCTGAGGCGTCTGGTCACCAGAATCCTGAACAAAAGCCCCAGAGCGTCAACGAGACAACAAATGTCCAGAACCAGGTCGTAACGAGGGACAACAGCACGGCGGGGGGCGTCCAGAACCGGGTCGTCATTAGGGGAAATTCCACTGCGGGGCGTGACCTAAAATGGGTCATCATAGGAGGCGACTCCACAACTGAGGACGTCCAGAACCGGGTCGTCATTAGGGGAAACGCCACGGCGGGGGGTGTCCAGAACTTGGTCATCATTAAGGACAAAGCCAAGACGGGGGGCGTCCAGAACCTGATCGTCATTAGCGAAACAGCCACAGCAGAGGCTGTCCAGAACCGGGTCGTCATTAGGGGAGTGGCCAAGGAGGGGGGCGTCCCAAAATGGGTCATCATTGGGGTAGACTCTACGACTGGGGACGTCCAGAACCGGTTTGTCATTTGGGGCGAAGCAACGACGGGGGGTGTCCAGCAGAACCTGGTCCCCATGGACAACGGCACGACGGGGGGCGTCAAGCAGAACAACGGCACGACGGGGGGTGTCCAGCATGAGCACAAAGGTGAGCTCTAAAAAGACAACAGTATGTGTCGCATAAAAGTGGTGTAAAAGATCTGGAATCTGTGAAATGTTTGATTAATTTGAAACACAGCAATGTCAAGCTAATCATGTGTGTATAAGAGCTAAAACAAACCACTTGCATGTCTTATAAGTTAATGCATCAATATTTGGTTGCTGAATTCACTGCCAACATCGCTCATTTTTTACAAATACAGGATTTATTAAGTAACCAAGCCCTTGAGGAACTATTACAGAAGAATTCATGCTGTGATTTCAGTCTAGAGAACATCATTTATTGTCTTGACGTCCATTTATGACTTGAATGTTTTTTCAGTACTCCTGGATACCCATGAAGTAGACGAGCAGTTATTGAACGGGACGATGAGCGATGAGGAAAAGTTCAACGGGACGATGAGCGACGAGCAGTTGTTGAACGGGGCGACGAGGAAACGTTCAACTGGACGATGAGCGAGGAGGCAAAGTTAAACAGGACGATGAGCGAGGAGATATTCAATACTGCATAGATTCATCTCGTCTATTTTGAGTGCCTTGGAGACCTTGATATCTGAGATGTTATCTTGGCAGCAATATAATAAAACGTGTATACATTTCTTGAATAACAGCGTGTCAATCCAATGTTTGTATTGCAATGCTTGGCTCTTATCATGCATACATCTTCCCTTAACAGTCCAATAAAAGCTCATCTGGACTAGAAATGTCTTTAAAAAAACTCTCATACTACATAGGATTAGCATACATTGGTCTTGTCAGTAAAAGGGAGAAGATTAAACGTGCAATATTTTGAGAAATGGTCATTAGAAAACCTTGCCATGCTGCCTTTATTGCAGGTTGGTCTGAAGTCCATATGCACTTCTATGTGCTAGACTATAACAAGATGGTAAAAAGGTGGTTTATAATAACAATTTAGACTCAAAAGAAAAGTCAAGAATATAAACTTGGTATACCCAATTCAGGGTTTCACAATCTTCTAAACCTGTCACTCAAAATATAAATGTTCAGTTTCTTTTCTGCATTGTTTTCAATCTGTATTTGCCAGATAGAAACACACATTTCTAAAATAACCATATCCTGCTGACGACTGAAATCAGCACCGTTAAAAAAATGCTTTATTAATAACATAAATTTGCCAAACATGACGACACATTTGCGAGGACCTTTGAATGTTTTCTGAAGTCTCATAGTTTGTAAATCGAAGGTGTGCTTCTTCCCATTCCTGTATTGGTCCAAGTAGCATTTTAAAAACTTTTTTTTAAGTTTAATGTTATTTTAAACGTTCTTTTGAGAGTTAATTTAAAAATGTTTTTGTCATTTAACCTGTTTAGCCCTGAGCCTGTTTTTCAGGTCTCGGGCTCGAAAATGACATTCCCAGAACAAATGACCATATCTTCCCTTCTAAAAAGGTTAAATTAATCTTTTTTTCTCAAAGTAATGATAAACCTGTGAGTTGGATGTAGAAAAGTCAGAACAATATAGATGTTTTTTAGCTCAAATGTGAAATGCCAAAATTAGGTCCTACTTCAAAACTTCAACTCTGATTAGTCAGTCTGATTCATATGACCTGTTAAGTACAGAATACTCACAGCATGGAGGATCAGTTTATCAAATAGCCATTTCCTGTTGTCACATGTGACTAGAGGCAAATCCCAGGACAGTGCCAACTCATTGATGTATTTTTCTTCTGATGATAATTCTGCTGTTCCCTCCAGCTAATAATGGCAAGTAGAATGAATTTGATAAGAATTGTTAATTTCTAAATACTTGTATAAACATTCAACTTTGATACAACATAAGACAACCCATCAATTAGAACACCTACTGTGCTCAAACAACACACCCATTTAACTTATAATCAGCATGTTAGTAGTTGGTAACCTGTAAAAGCTATGTTTTGTCAAAAAACATCTTATAGGAGGACATCTGTAAGTCTTCTAATGATATTTAATATATCAGTGTATAGTGTTTAATAACGCTTCAGTACCCCCTGCTGGTGCACACTGGCAGCCACATGATGTTAAAAGTATCTGAAAGTAGATCAGCTAAATAATATCCAAAGGTTGAATAATAAAATAGGTTCGGAAAAAATGGAACATACCAACTTGATTGTCTCACGGATATCAAGGTCAACACAGTCCTTAATATCTATTGTGGCTTCTTCCGGGGATTCACCAAAGAGTACTTGTAGGATAGCTGGGCTCAGTCCACCTAGGCATAGCCCATCATGGAGGAATGAATGTCCAATCATTCGGCCAGCAACAACAAAGAAGTCACTCTCCAAAAGGAGATGAGAAGTGGAGGGAATCAGATGATCTTGTTCCCCTTCAAAAAGAAGAGTTCCTCCTGGCACTTCAAATATAGGAAGAGCTGGGCTGAGAGTGAGAGGAGGAGGAAGAGGAGGAAGAATGAGAGGTAGAGGTAGAGCTGGAGGGAGAGGACGTGGACAAAGAAGAATACTCTCTAATGAAATGAAATGTTATCAACCATGGTTTGACGATGAGAGAGGCTGGACACAGGGTTCAGCCTAATCTAAGCCGATTTACTGTTGCCTCTGTAATCCGGACACTTAGACTTGAAAACAGGTTACCAGTTTTTTCGCTCTGCAGAATTCATGATATATCAGTGCTTATATCTGTTGTGTGAAACGTTTTTACTTCATTACTGTAATTTAATTGTTGGCATGTTGCATACTATAACTGTACAAAAATCCTGCACAATTGACTGTGGTAAACTTACTTTTATGCAACACAGACACTGACCAACCACTATATCTTTGTTGTTTATCTGAAGGACTGAGAAAGAAAGAGGTGCAGGTGGAAGGCTAAGGATTTCCAATGAGGCACAGGAAGCAGCAGTTACAAACTGGGTTTTGGCAAACAATGCATCACACTTAGAGAGATCCGAAGCATAGTAGCTATGTGCTGAGATGCATGTTGCACAATGTTATTTTTGAATAAAATGTGATTTTTTTTCAACAACTCATTTGTATTTATTCATTTATCATCCTCATACTTTATTTCTGTATACTCAAGCAACTTTCTCTGCAGAAACCTCTATGTACAGAGCATAGCCCATAAAAGATGAAAGTGCTTTAGATTATGCTCCGCAGTGTGTAGTTGGGTGGTCAAACAATCTAGTATTATGAATGAAGTGTGTTATATTTGGTGCTAAAGTTTGCATTTGGTAAGTGTTTATGTAGTTTTGAGTGCAGTTCTTCACTTAGCAGGAGAAATGAGGTGTTTTGCACTTTGGGTGTGTGGTTTTGTGAATTGTGTTTAGTGTTCTGAGAAAATGAGCAAAAAGAATGTGTGTTAGCAATCAAGAAAAACTGTAAGATGTTAATGCGGTGTAATGCAAATTCCAGTAAGGCTGGTTGTGTTGAATCACAAATGATGTGGCACCTCTATTCAAATGGGTAATCTTTAAAATAATAACACAACAGTTTATCATGTAAAAAAGCAGTTTGGCCCACAAGTATTTTTTATTTCTTAGATGTAGGTCGCTCGGCAATACAATTCATTCAGAACTCCCAGATCCCATCATATTTACTAAATTAAGTTTATTATGGGGCAGTTCCTTATTTAATTTTTTCAATTTTGTTGAGTTTTTCTTCTTAAAGGTGGGGTAGGTAATTTTGGAGAAACCAGCTCGAGTGTGCTAGAATTTGAAAATACACAGCCGGAAAAAATCTGCCACTTCCTTACAGAGCCCCTCCTCCAACACACACGAACGCGCACATGACCAATGAGGGCACGAGATAAGTTTGTGCACAGATGGAAGGCTGACAGGCAGGTAGGCCATCCAGTTATTTTAGCCGGGCCGGCTAAAATGATTGGTCGTGCTTTTTACAGTATTACGGCTTCCACAGATTACATTTTTTTATGGATTTTTTGTCAAAGCACTTAAGATATTCATTGCTATCGGGATGTTAAGAGCATTCCATGGAATATAACAAAAAGTGTATCTCGAGCCGGTTTCTCAAACTTACCTACCCCACCTTTAAATATTTTGTTGTGTGAATTAATCTTAACCCTTGATAACCCTTTTAGGCTCTCGCCCCAAAAATAACTCATACTTATCAACCCACAACTAAAAGCGCAAAACAGTAAACATTCATACAATACTCATCATTCTGATGACAAAACAGCGTCTTGTTTGATATGTGTAATACATTAACAATCAAAATAACCGGTTTCTGTTCCTTAAAAAAAAACGTTCAAATCTTCTGAGGTATATTTTTATGAATATATAGTATCACTTTTGAAGTTATGTTGGATGTCATTTAATATTAAGGCGGGTATTATAATTTGTTATATCTCTCAACTTGAGTTATTAAAAAAACATTTGAAAACATCAATCTATTATAGACTGTTCGAAAGATGCTGCACTTGATAGAAACACATGGAAACATTTAATCTCAGCATGGACTTAAATCTCCACTCCTCCCCCACAATGAACACACGTCTTTTTAGACTAGCTTTTAATGTGTGATTGATGACAAGTCCTTGTGACAAATGTGGTTTTATTGCTCGATATTAAATATACTTTTTATATTATCTTTTTTCTTACCTCTGTGTCTTTGAGCACTTGATAAAGCGCTTGATAAATAAAATGTATTATTATTATCTAGCCGCCCTTTTGAGGACATGTGTAGGAGAAGAGAACATCCATCATATTCTTAATAATAGGAGGTTGTGGGTGGAGGCTGTTTGGCAGGTGGTGAGCAAGGACCATCTCCCAGGCATCAATCAGATGAACATTCAGTCCTTTAAATATGGCTCTTAGCACCTTATCACGCCGCACCGTGAACCAGTCGCTGTTGGTTATCGTCTCATAAAGCCACAAAGCTTTGGGGTTTGCAGTCCTGATGATGACCACCGTTTGTGGAGCCCTCTCCAACAGCCGCACCACCGCACTGCGGATCCTTTGTAGCCGCCGGATGTAGACCTCGAGGGGGAAAGTGCCCAAGTGAGACCAGATGCCAAAAACGACAACAGTGTTTGGACCCCCGATTAAGTCATCTAGTTCATTGGCAATGTAACGAAATTCCCCAATTGGCACGTTGACAAAACGGAGAGGAGGACCATGGCAGCGGAAAGTCACCATGATTTTGTTTTCATAGTCTAAGGCCATGAAAGGTCCATTTGCCTCGAGCTGCCCAGGTTAAACTCCTTAAGATCTAAAAGTATTAGAGAGGAAACAGATTAAGATGCAGTGTGAACATAATGAAACTGTTGCCGGAAATCCCTGTGGATTAGTTACCTGGTAGTGCTGCGTTGAGGAACTCAAACAACTGCCTGATGGTAGAGTCTCCATACAGGTGGACCACTTTGCCTTTTAGACACTGAGTGATGGCAGATGCGCCGGTGAATTGGTGAACTTTGGTGCCATCTAGTGCTCGCCATAAACCCTGGTAGTAATAGCCAGAGGCTTGAAAGTTCACAATGCTGCTCTTCACCTCTGGTTGATCTGAGAGAAAGTTAAAGGATAATAGGGGGGTTGTTTTACTTTTGTTACTCTCCACCTTAACCAAATCAAAGTATAAAGTGAATGTATGAACATGTTATGGCCTCACTCCTGAGAGACTAGACACTGCAACAGCTGG